TTAATTATTCAAGGGCCGTTAGTACTTAATAACTTTTATTTAAAGAAATTAATAAAAGTAAAAATATAATATAAAATAAGTAATAATAAGCTACTTATTATTATTAATAGCTTATAATACTAATATTAATATATTAGCTTATTCTAGGTAATTATAATAGTTTAAATAGATTATTTTAATTTATAATTCTTAAATATAAAAAGTAGCTTAACTCGTAATAGCTATACTAATTTAATAACTTAATTATGTTTAATATTAAAATTAAATTTAAACTAAGTATATAGAACTTAGTAAATAGATTATTTAAAAACTGGATTATTAAGGAGGGAGGTAAGTAATAATATAGCTGAGAAGTTAGTAAATAAAATATAAAAATATTTTAATAATATAGTTAAGGATAGGGCTTATTATTAATAATAATAGTTATTTATAGCTCAAAGTATATTATTATACTAAAAAGTAGCTAAAAATTAAAGGGGTAAGTACTTAACTTAAGCTTATAAAAGAAATAACTAAGTATTATATAATAAGAATTTATAATAAGAACGTAACAGAGTAATTTTATAATTATTTAAGTTTATTACTAAGGGTATAATTTATAAGTTATATACTTTATAAGAGGGCACTAAGGGTACTTAATTAAAATAATAAATAAGCTATACTTATTTATAATAAACTAGCTATTAAGTTTATAATAAAAGATATTTTTATAATAAACTTTAAATAAATTAAAAAAGGTAAACCTATATATATTAAAAAGTAATAATAAGAAAAGAGCTTAAATTATTAAGTTTAAAAATAATAGACTATTTAAAAAAGGGCTATAGTATATATATTATAAAAGAGAGGATAAAAAAATTATTAATAATTATAATATAATAATAGCGGGCTACTTAAGTATATTTAAAACGTTAAAGCTAATATAACGAGACTATTTTTAGTTTTAAAAATAAAATAAAATATAAAAATATATATAAATAGCTATACTATATATTAAAAAAAAGGTATATTACTACTTATTTTATAGCTTACTCGCTTTATTACTAATATTAATGTACTTATATAGTAAAATATTTTTAAACTTTATTACGAGCTTATTAAAGTTAATATTTTTAATAAATAAAAAGTATATAACGTAATCTTAGTAATAATAAATCAGTATATAAAATATAATACTTATATTATAATAATTACAAAGCTTATAGCGGGTTAATAAACTTATTATTTAAATAAATCTTTTTATTTATAGCTTAGCTAAGGGTTATTTTAAATAAGGGCTCCTTCTTTATAAATAAGTTCTAGGAATATCTCTATTACTTATTAATAACTAAAAAATAACTAAGTACGGTTTTTATTTATAAACAGATAACTAAATAGAATAATAAAACTAATATATAAAGTACTATTTATACTATTTTTATATAAAAACTAAGTAAATTAAGTATAATAGCTATACTTCGCATAGTTCGTATATAATAATATATATTACCTCTATTAATATATTACTAAATAAAATACTTTTGGTACGATTTATTATTACTAAGCTACTTATTATTTATAAAGATAATAAAGATAATAAACCTCTTAACTAAAATAAAAATAAAGTATTTATAACGTTAATAAAATAAAATAATACTATTATTAAAAAGCGTAATTATACTAATTAATATAGTATAATAAAAAGATAAATAAAAGTTTATAATAAAGAGCTAGGTATTATTATTAAATAAGTATATTTAGTAAGCAATGAGTTATAAACTAACGAATAAGTAACGAATAAGTAACTAAGACTTTTTATATTTATAAAGTTATAAATAATTACGGGCTTATATACTAATTAAAAATACCTAATTATTATAAGGTTTATAATATATTCCCTATCTCTTTATTAAAGCCTTACGTATAATAAAAAAAGAAGTACTAAAATAATCCCTAATTAGTAAAATAAAAAGCAAACTATTATATAAAGTTAAAGAAATTATTAGTTATAAAAAGCTTAAAAAAATAATACTTAATTTAATAATAAGAATATAATAATAAAAAAATACTTAAGAGCTACAATACTATATTAAGAATAATATACTTATAAAAATTATAAAAATAAAATAAAATAAAAAAGAATATTAAGGGCTAAGCCCTAACTATATATATAAATATAAAAATAATACTAAGGGTATATAATAAGTACCCCCTAGCTATATTAATAATAAATATATAAAGAAAAATCTAAACTAAGTAAAAGCATAGTAATAAAGCGGTATATAAATAAAAACTAACTAAATTAAAAACGTAAATATTACTTAATAAGTATATTATTAGGTACTTAGAGGCGCAGCATAGTTATTAAGAGGTTATATAAAATTAATACTCTTAATATAAATAAGAAGTATAGACGGTACCCTCGGTAAATAAATTAAGGGTTATTATTAATAATAATAATATTATTAATAAGCTAAATATAAAAATTAATAAAAAGTAATAAAAAGGCTATATAAGGTATATAAAAGAGCGGTTTATATAAAGGATATTTATAAAAGCTTTAAAAATATAAGTAATATGCTTAAAAACGCTAATAATATATAATAAATAAACTAAGTTAACTATTTAAATATAAAAGCAGCGGGTATTAATAAGAACGCTAAGAGGTAACTTAAAAATAGTATTATTAATAATAATACCTAAATTATAAATAAGTAATATAATAAAAATAAACTACTAAATAGTAGGCGCGGCATAGTACTAATAAGGGCCATGAGAATTATAAATAAAAAGTAGTATTTTTAATAAAAAAATTTAGTACGTACTTAGTAAAGTTACGAATAAGTTAATAAATATGCTCTTATAAATAAAATAAAGAATTAGTATTATTTATAAAAGCTTAAAAAAATATATAATAACTTATTAATATAATATTACTAGGGTAGTACGTAGGTTATAATAATAATAATTAGAATATAATAAGCTAGGATAATAAAATTAAAAATCTAAAATATAAAATAAGTTAACTAAAATAAAAAAAAATAATAAAAAGTAATATATAAGCTAAAAACTTACTAAGCTTTAATAAGAATAATTAAAATAAGTATATAAAAATATTAATAACTAGTACTTAAAAATATATATAATTAATAAAAATAATAGTAATAAGAGAGTAATTAGTAAGCAGTAAGTTTATAATATACTAAGCTAATTATAATAAAGCTTAACGTTATAAACCTTAGTTAAGTAGCGTATATACATAAAATAAAAATATTATATAAATTATTAAATAGAAGGTTAAAAACTTAATTAATTAATAACGAGAATGCTAAAAACGAATAGCTTATATATACTAATTATATAAGTTATAAAATACATTTTTTTAGCTTTTAATAATTAGGTATTACTAGCCTTATTAATTTAATTATATTTTACGAAGACCAAGGGGTTATATTAATAAATTTATAATAAAATTAATAATAAATAAATTAATTACGTATAACGCGTATAAATAATAAATAAAAAGCTTATTAAAAGTAGTATATAAAAATAAAGACTTTTTTTTTAAAAATTATTATTATATTAATAATCAGCGTTAGTATATAAAAAAAGGTAATAAATAAAAACTAAATATATAATAATTAATAAGTTAAAAAAAAAAAAAAATAAGTAGTATTAAATAAAAAATATTTATAATTAATTCGGGCCCTTAAAAAATAGGGTAACGGACTGGGTAATTATTAAAAATTATATAAAAATATAAAAAAGGCCATTAAAATAAAGTAACGGCCTTATAATAATAAAAAAAAAGAGCTTAAAAAGGTCCTATTTAAATATAAAAAAAAAAGAGTAGGCCCGGGGCCTAGTTTTAAAAAAAAGGGGTACTATATTAAAGTATATTAAGTACGTAGGGCCTACCCCGCGTATATATAGCCTTAGCCTTATTAATACGTATATAATTTATAAACGGGCTATAAAATCATAGGAGGTAAAGTTTAATATTAGTAATAATAAGGACCTAATTATAGACTCGCGGGCTATTCGCCTATCACTCCGTACAATCGAGCATTAACAGAGGCTAACAAGTATCGCCGCATCGCACATCGCACGAAGCAGACTGCGCCGGATCAGGCCTGGGCACGATGACGGTACCGGAAGTCTCAGATAATGCTTTACAGACCGAGCACTTCTGTCGACTTCTAGGATAACTATCAGAAAGTGAACTTCTCTTAGTCACTATTAGACATCCGCGGACGATGCTTGTGTCGACTCCGTGCATATCGGAGTTTCCTGGACAATCGCGCGACGTAGAAAGGCTACATTTCGGTTGCATCTTGCTCCCAAATTGATGAAGCAATATTCAAGCTCATGTCGAACCTTCAGCATGGCAACCCCACGAGGGATATTTCCAGTCCCTGAAAGCGTCCACCAAGAGATAAAGTTGATTCATGATACCTAATATTAAACATCTAGCTCAATGCATAGTATTGGTAGAGACGACAGAAGAATGTCAGGATTGTAAATAGCTGGGGGTTGGCAAGATCTTCATTATGGCCGCCGCAATCTGACTCAACAACCAAGAGATTTGTCCACCTTACTGTTGCAGACGCTAACGTACTTTAGATAGTGAAGATGGCAGATGTCTTTGTACGATGGCAGTAATTCGAAACTGGCCCGGGCAACGGATGCACCCAGTTAAGGTAGGCTAGAGTGCGGATAGCTCCGTCCCTGTCCTCATTCTGGACACCTTGTCAGGGCTTACCCCTCCAAGACTGGGCCCATGATCCGGACCTAAAGACTGTCGCCGTCGCTGTGACCCGGTAGTCGGTGATAACCACCATGGAGATAACGAAATCCGCGTTTCTCATCAGATATGGATTCTTAGTCTACTGGGTCGATAAAGATCAGGCGGCTGAGAGTCATTGCTATAAGATGAGCCTTCTATATGTCATGACTTTGAAACCTCCCTACTCGTCTTTCTTACAGCTAACTTTACACCGACCCTGAACTATCACAAAACCATGGTACATGTGCTTCTTACCGGTGGTAGCGGCTTCATAGCTATGCACATAATCAAGGTGCTACTGGAGCAAGGGTAGACTCTCTTCCAGGCACTCGAGCGATAGGTCAGCCCTCACTGACATACGGCTAGCCACTCAGTAATCACAACTGTGCGAAGCCAGGCCAAGGCAGATATAATCAGTCAATCGTTCTCTGGATATTCGCCCGATAAGTTAGGCTTTGTCTTCGTTCCCGACGTTGGACAACTTGGGGCCTTTGACGAGGCCGTCCGGTCTGATCCCCCTTTCGACGCAGTCATACACACTGCGAGCCCCGTTACATACGAAGTCAAAAACATCCAGGCAGACTTGATCGACCCAGCTGTTAATGGGACCACCAATATTCTTCAAGCTATCAAGGCGGGGGCTCCGACGGTCAAGCGAGTGGTGCGGACCAACTCTTATTCAGGCACGTTGCAATATCGGCTGATTCGTTCCAGGTGATTACGGGGTCCTTTGTCTCTATGTTGGATATGTCAAAGGGTCTTTGGCCCGGCCATACATATGATGAGATAGACTGGAACCCCATCACGGCCGAGGAGGCACTGGCGAACCCGGTTAGCGGCTACGCAGGTAAGCGATTTCCGACCTAGAGCTTACAGCCCGCACATATACCCCTAACGAGATGCCGCAGCAAGCAAAACATTTGCAGAGAAGGCAGCGTGGAATTTTCAGAGTGAAGAGTCTCCGGGCTTCACGCTGTCCGTCATTTTGCCCCCTCTTGTTTTCGGTCCAGTGCTGCAACGTCTGAACAATTTGGACTCCCTTAACGAGTCAAACCAAATTATCAGAAGCTTTTTCAACGGATCGATGGACGCCGAAATACCCGCTGTCGAGGTCTAGTTTCTCATATTGCCCTAATTCACCAAGAAGTATGCTCATGTTTACTAGTATCCCGTTTTTGCCGACGTCCGTGATATAGCTTTGGCCCACGTACGGGCCATGGAAGAGCCCGAGGCCGGGAACAAACGCTTCTTCGTCGCCAACGGCCACTATTCGAACCGTGATATCATCGGCATAATTCGCAAAAGATCTGCCAAATACCGTCACAGCCTGCCATCGGAAAATTTGCCGGGTGGTAGTAAGTACTATGAGAATACAGGCTCCGTAATAATCACAACTACTGACAACAGCATAGAATTGCCAGAAGACGTGTTTTCTATCAACACCCAACGTTCGGTGAACATCTTGGGAATGGAATATAGGACGTTGGAGGACTGTATTGCCGACACTGTCGAATCATTCGCGGCGGTAGAGTCGTGAAACATCTACTGGGCAAGGGCCGAAGAGCACAAACACACGTGGGAAAAGCTGTACGAGCTGAGCACAGGATGCTATGAGACCGACCATAAGCTTCCAGGGTCATAGTCGACTTGATAATGTGAAATTTAGATCAGCAGTGTACTTTGAGAATTTAGGCCGCCGCCATGTCTACTTCAAGCTTATTCAACTACAACGTTCAAACTGTTTCCAACAACACCCAAATGTGGAAGGTGAATCAATATAATTCGATTGCTCATTCGAAAGGGAGAAATCCATGGCAAGAGCAGGAAATCTCAACAACCTACGAAAGCCGTTCGACAACGTACGTCATGGATGTGAGTCAGTCGATAGCACGCAGGTCCCCAGCAAAGACCGTAGGTTCTGTCTACAGCTTTGCTGATGATTTAATACCGAACCCGAAAGTAAAGCAACCACTTCTGAAGTTAAACTCACTGATCGCGTCTGTCATATGCTCAGTCTATCAGATGATCCATGCATTATGTACTCTTTGACTGCAGCACACGCGATGCGGATTCCTCCGAAGCTACTCTTCTAGAACTCAATCAAAAATGATGGAAACAAAATAATCAACATCGCGTGAAGTTTCAATCCGGGCAACATGGGTTGATTGCAGCGTCGCTCGTGCATTTTGCTAAAAAGAGGCTCTCGCTGTTTTCTGCCTCCACGTTGCAAGCTGCCCTGATTCATTCGTGTTCTCGGGCCGAACCGTGCAGATTGACAAACACTCAAGTCGGGGGACTGAACGGGGATGAATTGCAAACACACATAGCGTCATGTACACATGGCTCGATTTACAGGCCATCAAGCACCTTGCATAGTGCTCGTGTGATCCCATTCGCTCTTATCCAGATCATCTCGTATGGCGAAACTTGAGCGCATGCGACTATGTCTGTGAGCTATCAGTGAGCACCATCTACCTATTCGGCTTCCTGCCGACTATTAGGACACCAAAAGGTCAGGTTTGTGAAGGTATGAAAACTTAGGTAAGATTTCTATGGCTAGTGCCTCACCTCAGTTGTCCCGAGGGGGCCTCTCAAAGGCATTTGTCCGGTACCACGAAGCTCGGATCATCCTCAGTTAGAACGATGAACAGACATACTTTCCCAATGAAAGAGGTAGTCTCCCTCCAACCAGGCAATAAAGAACCCACGCAACGGGCTAGACACAAATGTACGATTCCCAACCCCCATGGTAATGCTTCCAGCTCGGTCAATGCTCCGCCCCTAGTCATCTGGATGGTAGGATTTGGTGGCCTGTAGGAACTAAGATAAGGTCAAAATGACACGAGAAAGGTTTTCGCGGCCCTCAGTTGCAAGCTCTTTGATAATCAATTGACATTCTTCGAAATGAAAGAGTCAAACCTTGCGGTCAAGTCGGGAAGCCTTCCCCGATGTCTTGGCTCAGGAGATGGCTTCAATGGTGGCTCGGACACCACGGCGCTCCCGAACAACTCGGAAGAGACCGTTGCCGTTGGAAAATCTCATTTGAATTTGCAAACTTTGATCTGAACACAACGTAAGCCGACTCATTTTCAACGGCGGCAGCACGCAAGGTATCGGCCGAGATTAATTAGCGGGAAGACTGTGCACGTCTCGACGGAAGGTGCTCTGCAAGATGGATTAAACATGCATAGAACTATGCATGGAAGCTCATGTAGGGCGGCTCCAACGTGAGCTTACGACGTCACTCGGGCTCTCGCGGGGACATGTACATCAACTCATGATGGCGATTGAAAGCTCCCTGTGCGGCGTGCTCGTGTTCGCCGAATATTCTTACCATATTTCGGATCAGAGAAGCTTTTCATACCGCGCGGACGGGCGGCGAGTACACCTGTGATAGAAAACCGGTCTGTCAAGTGACGTTGAGACTGGACGAACGGCTTTTAATTTCCAACTGTCCGTGATCGTAGAACTCAGAGCTGTGGCCCCAGCGTCCAGTCTCGCAAAGAGGTAATTGACTGTCACGCTATGGGCTGCCTATGAACACTGGTCTTCGAAGAGAACCGCTCAGCTCAGCAACGGCCCTCACGGAGAAGCCGGGTCCAAGTGACCGTGAGCCTTGGAAGTTTGTCGAGTTCGCGAACCATTATACGGAGGCTCCGTGGGGCGGCCGGTGCTCGCTGATTGAGTTCCTCAGCCGGTTGGACCGCCGACAACCTTTGAGAGGCATGTTGAGACGACTGATTCTGTCGTCACGGCCGTTGCTATGCCCGTTGTAGCTGCCACAGAGTCGTAATTTGTATGCTACCTCGTCGTATAGCATCTGGGAAGGATTTCTATAAGATCTAGGCGAGCTTCCACCTCAATTTAGTTCCTTTTTCCTCATCATCCAACACACTTCACACCCCAGCCTCTCTTGAACAACCATCTTCAATTTCTCACATCGACTGCGAGATACTTCAAGATGAAGTTCCTCAACGCTCTTCTCACATTGTCGGCCCTGGCGGTCAGCATCGACGCCCTTCCGGTTTCTGTAACCAAAGAAGAAGATGCCCAGACTTTCCAGTAAGTATATCACTCCAACATTTGTTCTGTATCTTTTTACTAACAATAAGTCAGTGACATGTCTCTGCATGACACCAGCATCATAGCCCGCCAGGCCCAGCCTCCTCAGCCTCCTCCATCGGCCTTGATTCCCGACGCAACACCTGAAGACGACATGGATGAATTCGAAGAGGTAGAGGAAGTCGACGACGTCACGAATCCAGGAGAGGTCGAAGCCGAGGGCAAGAAAAAGAAGAAGAAGAAGAAGAAGGGCAAGAAGAAGGGCAAGAAGGAGAAGAAGCCCGAGAAGCCGGACGCCATCCCGGCTGCTGGAGCTCAACCGCCCGCTGCTGGTGCTCAACCTGTGCCCGCAGCTGGCGCCCAGCCTATCCCCGCTGCCGATGCCGCTCCGGCCGCTGCCCCAGCCAAGACACCAGCTCCCGGAGCACCTGCAGCCGATGCTCCACCACCTGCCCCGGCGCCGGCGGCTCCTCGCTCGGTTGCCAAGGCATTCAAGGCCTAGTCGCATTTCATTCTTGAGAAGATTCAGTTAGTTTGAGTTTCAAGAACTGGTGCTATACTGGAGGATATGGGTGCCGATAGTTGCTGGATTCAACATTAGGGCTTCCTGGTAGAGGGTTTTGGGCGGTTTTTTTCTCTAGTCATGTCATGCTGTTTGACACCGGATTGTCGTTTAATAATTGTACAAAAGTTCCTTCTCTCAAAGTTCAGCTTGTCTCACAGTCGTCAACTATTAGCGGCCTCACAACTCTACTAGTGCATGTGAACTTTGCAATGGAAGAATCATCACAAGCGAATGGCCATCGGACATGTGAGCACTTCTCTGAAGGCTTTGGAACTCGAGGGCAAAGTTCTGTTTTGATAAAGACTTGTTACAAATTTCAAACCTGGCTAGTGATAACAGGCTCGAAGTGCAAGTTGTTTCCAAAGTCATTTCGAAAGTCCTTTTTAGGAATCTGGAAACAACTGATTAACAATTGAACTGGTGTAATTGTTTCATGATCGCGCTCAGTAAAATTAAAGACTGCCAAAGTCAAACCGTGCGTTGACGATGTTACTCTCCAGCTCTTAGATGACTCGTGTATAAGACGGAAATGCGGATAACACTTTTCCGCGTGGAACCAGTGGCTCTATCTCGTTGCATCAACCACCGAACGCTGACGTCCCAAACAAGTCCAGAGGTAGTGAAATGGTGCCAAGATGTGGGCCATCTACGTAATCCCACACTATGCCGCGGGGTTACCTCTTGCGGTCCAACCACTGACGACGGATCCAATTGCCAAACCAGACGCCTTTGGCCCGGCATTCAGCAAAACACTGCGGATCAAGTTGAGAGCCTGTGTTCCGAGGAAAAGCGGTAGCTTCAGTCTTTGTGCCTCATTGACCGCCTCCTGAAGGCCGCTTGATATTGTCTGAAGGAGACTTTCGTTGCCAGAGGCAGCCCAATCGTGTGTAGACTGACCGGCCGCGATGGCATCCACAATGCGCCGGCCCTCGCCGGAAAGCATTGTGCTACCGCCGGCAGCGTTAATGCAGAGCTCAAAGACCTGCTCCAAATCCAGACCAACAAAGCGTGCGAAAGCAATTGCCTCGGCTGCCGCGCAAAGATGAATGCCACGGAGAAGGTTGACGACGAGGCTTAGCTTGCCTTCTTCGGACGTGACGGTAGGCTTGACCGGTCCAACCTTTCCCGCTCCTTCGATGTATAGTCGAATGAGACTAGCATCGTCGTCCGGACCGTAGCCTTTACCCAGGGCGGCGAAATAGGCCTGCTCCGCCGTGGAGGTCATCGGAGTGGGAAATCCGGCCCGGCGCGCCTCTGAAGTAATGATGCTAGTGTCTTTGAGAATGATCGTGACCGCACTGGCAAGAGGTCCGAATTGAGCGTCCAGCATGCGTGGTAGCCGGTTCTCAAACATCCAGCTCCAACCCTCTGACTTGATGATCTTTTCGCCAGTACTGGGGAGATCCAAGCTAAGATGCGTTGCAAAGCCCAACGCTTCGCTCGACGAGAGGATTTGATTGGCGGCGAGTACCTGATGGCACATCTTCATATTGCTTCCAGCGCCGATGCCGCCCTTGACGATGTAAAGCTTCTCGGGATCCGACATGGCCTGCAATAGGTGAAGGCCCCTTTGGATAGCTTCCTCTTCCGCGCCGGCCATGATCGATAGAGTACCAGCCGCAGCCCTGGCAGCACCTCCGGACACCGGGCAATCCACCAGAGCAATGTCACCTCGATTTCTTGCAACCAGCTCTTTCTGAAGACCTTGAACGTAAGCGCATGGAACTGTCGAGCACAGCAGCACCACCGCTCCTTGTTGAAGGGCCGATAGGGCCGGAGCGTCACCTTCAAACAAGACGCCTTGCGCCTGTTCCGCTGTGGCAACCATGACAACACAGAACTCCTTGCCCGTGACAGCTTCGGCTGGATTTATCGCTGTGAGACCGCCTGCTGCCTTGAACTTATCCAGAGTCGGCTCATAAACATCGAATCCTGTGACCGGATATCCAAGGCGGACAAGATTAGTCGCCATTCCAAACCCCATCGCCCCAAGACCAATGAAGGCCGTGGGCTGCTTGCTTGGGTCCATTTTGTCTTCGACTGAGGGTAATATGGTGCGTGTATGTGTTTGAGAATGTCTAAGAGTAGATTCGAGGCCAGTTTGAGGAGCCAGGGATGCTGATGGGGGTACCGGATTCTTGCAATCCGTGACCGGAGACATTACCCCCAAAGATTAAGTACTAGTAAAAAGAGCAGACAGATTAGTGACCGCGAATGAAAGACGACCTCGGATCCAGGTAACCCGTTGATTCGGTAGAGGTCGGTCGCTCGGGGTGACGACGGCCTTTTCCCGAACCGAATACTGCTCCGATTTCACTCCGTAACCACGGCTCGCGCGGAAAATCGGCCCATTTCCGCCCCAATCCTGGAATCCCCCGCAATCCACATCACATATCGACAACAGTTGCGAATCTAGCTTCTCCAGTTGCTATATCGTTGAAACTTCAACATAAAGCCGCTTCTGTACCCCCATTATAGTGGCTCTCAAGATCCTCAAGTACCTTGCCGAAGTTGAATTAAAGGACTCAACAAAGTTCGCCGATCCGACACCACTATTACCAACATAACTCACTGAACACTATCAAGCTACCTCAACTCTCGCCAAAACCTCCAGTCTTCAAGATGGTTCGACCTCCTCTCTCCGAAAACCGAACGATGAAAATCGTCAATGCTGCAAATGATGGCGGCTATGCAGTTGCGGGGTTCTGTTGCTACAATCTCGAAGCTGTGGTGGCATCCGTCAGAGCAGCAGAAGCAACCTCTTCGCCCGCAGTCGTGCAGCTCTTCCCGTGGGCAATGGAGTACGCAGGTAGTGCACTCGTCAAAGCCGCAGCAGAACTCTGCCACAGTGCCTCAGTCCCCGTATCACTGCATCTCGATCACTGTCAGACACCAGAGCTGGTTCGCCGTGCCGCGGACATCCCCGACGGCTTCGACAGTATCATGGTTGATATGAGCCACTACGAGAAGGAAGAGAATCTGGCTCTTACTCGAGAGCTGGTTGATTACTGTCATCAACGCGGTATCGCCACGGAGGCAGAGCCTGGGCGAATCGAGGGTGGTGAAGACGGTGTGGCTGAGACGATAGATCTCGAGGGTGTTCTCACTACACCAGAGCAGGCTGAAGAGTTCGTCGCGACTGGAATCGAGATGCTTGCACCCGCTTTCGGCAACGTTCATGGTGAATATGGTCCTCGTGGGATCAAGCTGGAATATGACCGGCTCGAAAATACCAACAAGGCCGTGGGAGATCGGGTTAGGCTAATCCTTCACGGTGCGGACCCATTTACAGAGGAGATTTACAATCGCTGCATCAAAGCTGGAGTAACAAAGATCAACATCAACAAGGGCATCAACAACCACTATGTTCCGACACAAGAAACAGCAAGAGGTCGCCCGATTACGGCGACGATTGAGGCTGGTACAAAGGAAATGCAGAAGGCGTGCGAAACTTACATGCATTGGTTTGGCTCAGCAGGAAAGGCATGAAGAAGTTGTCGGACTACCTCCCTCGGAGATATCAAGATGATGTGTTCTCTCTCATCATATTATGAGGGCAATGCCATTATGAGGGCTTTATTCAACATAATAGTATTCAAAACAACATATTTGCAGACCAAAAATAAGTCAAAACTTATTACAGTGACATGAGGTATCCATACAACCCATCATAACGAACTCAAACACGCAATCGACGTCTCCAATTTCTGCATCAAAACTGTTCCTCTTCGACATCATAAGCTAGAGGCTTCTGTCCGAAGCCCATCTTGTCGATACCTGTAGTCTTTGAGACCCACAACCCCCCTGAGATAGCCAACTCCATAGCTCGAAGACGCCAAGGTGCAGTTGACTTGCGCAAGGATCCATTCGACTCCGCCTTGTCCAGCATCGCCTCCGTCCTCACCTTTCGCTTCTTCTCATATACCTGCATCGCGTCTTCCAAGCTATCAGTGTTAATCTTCAACATCTTTGAGAACAAGAAGACGTCTTCCAAAGCCATGGAAACACCCTGGCTGGCGTGCGGCGGCATCGCATGGGCAGCATCGCCGAGAACCATGCAACGGCCCCTGGACCACGGTCTTCCCCGCGGCATCTTGTAGATCGGGTAAAACTGGACAGCGTTCGTGTTGTTGATAATCTCGTGCACCATGTCCATCCAATCAGACTTTTGACTTCCCAAGAGATCGAGGAGGGTCGCCTTGAATGTGTCTGCCGCTTCCTTTCCGCGCTCCTCCCATCCGTCACGGACATTGCCAAAAGACGGAAGAGCAACTTCACGTGAGAAGAACCAGTAGAGAAGATCCCGAGTTGGTGTCGTCGGGGCGATGACGAAAAGTCCGTCAGAGGTGAGCGTCGCGCTCATGGTTTCGATAGACGTGGCTCTGGGGCACACCTCGTCTGGTCGCACGAGGGCAAACATGTTTGCAAAGCCGGAGTACTCGGGCACGGAGCCGGGGTCAATGTAGAGTTTTCGCACGGCGGAGTGGATCCCATCGCAGCCGAGGAGAAAGTCGGCTGTGTCTGCCGTTCCGTCGGCGAACCGCGCGGTCACGGCGTGGCCTTGGTCTTCGATTTTCTCCACGGCCTTGCCGTAGTGTATTTGGATGTCTGCTTGCTTGGCGGCGCCTAGCAAGACATCCATCAAGTCGGTTCGTTGAACGCGCAAGTATCCGAAGCCGGTCTGCTGCTCACTCCAGGATGATAGATCCATCTCACCCATAACGCAGCCTTTCAGAGCGTGTAAGACGAGCTTCGGCGTCAATGCACCTCGAGCTGCAACGTCATTGTACAGTCCAAGGCGATCGAGTAGTCGTAGACCGTTGGAAGGAATGCCGATTGCTCCACCGAGTGTTGTTGGCTGGCGGCGGATTTCGTAGACTACCGGCGTGATTCCATTGGCCTTCTTCAGCTGGAGCGCAGCAAGTATGCCTGCTGGGCCACCGCCGATGATGATGATCTATGCATGCTGTTGTCAGAAAATACTCCAACGGGTCAGGCTGTCGAAACATAAGATCATAGAGTAGTTACCTTTCTGATTTCCTTTACTGCAGTCATGTTGTTTATGGCTGGTAGGTTTGTGTTGTTTGGAACAGTTGCTTCTTACATTCGTCTGATGCGCGGGGTCAAGTTGCCTTTATCCCTTCCTTGGCACGCATCTTGGTTTTTGTCGGCCTTTTCGCAACAAGTCCAACGCCTTCCGCCGATTCGTAAGTACACCAAATCATGCGATTGTAGATCGTTGGAGGAAACTTAATGCCGGAACCCGGGGACCAAAACGGCACCGTCCTGCCGTGTTGCCGTGTTGCACGGTACCGCTCCAAATCATGGCTCCACGCCGTCGGACTTTCGCCGATGCCCAAAACTCCGGTTCGGATTCCTACCTTCGGCGTTCGGATGGCCGATGTCAAGCTTCCCCAATCAGAGTTAAGTGTATGTTATGCATCTCGTTGCCCTTGATTTCTGTCACTGAGCCGAGTTTTGAAGTCTTGCTTCCGTGACTTTGATGTCAAGGCAAGTGATTTTTGGACCTTTTGGTACAGTAAACCAGCTATTCTGGTGGCGAATTGCTTACCGAGGAAACACAACCATCCAACTCTTCCGTCCCCTCCCAAAATACCCAAGGGAAATTTCAGAAAAACAAAATCGAAGGGAATGCACATCCCAACTTCGATGTTGCTGCTCACAGCTCGCGCTAATTGTCATTGTCATCTGGTGATGTTAGACATCCCGAACTGAGCCTGCCTGAGGTAACATGGGCGTTGGATCGCAGGGGCAAGCGATGCTAAGAATTAGCCGTCCACTCACAGCGAAGCAAAGGCTGCAGCTTACAGTCCACTCCATTCCGCCAGATGATTTCGTGCACGAAGCTGACACCCGCTGCATTTCCTACTCTTCATGAATCTGGCAGCCTGAATTCGCGCGAGTGAGACTCCCACTTCGACCGTCAAGATGTCGGCCAACGATACGCAGTTTTTCAAGCAATCCTTGAGATCTGAATACTGGATCAACTTCAATGTTGACAAAAAGTTCAGTCTTGCCGGAGTTGATGAACCCGAGCTCGATAGTGAGGACAAGGCACTGGTCCGGACATGGGCACCTACTAAGGGCGCAACCAAGACAGCCCCGGTCCAAGCCCAACCTTCGTCCCTTTATCGTCCCATACTCGATCCTTTTGAGATCCGCGTGCTCGAGATCTTGCCAGGCACCGGCGATGAGAAGTTACGAGGCCGCCTGCGCCACTGCTCACTCGAACTCAAGGCAAGCTTTGCTCTCGCTGTCGATGGATCCGCCACACCAATGGTGTACACGGCGCTAAGCTACACATGGGGCCCAAACGTGTTCGATGAGGCAATCGAGTGCGAAGGTCACGTCAAGAATATCACAAAGTCTCTCGCGGTTGCTTTGAGGGCTTTCCGACAAGAGGATCGCTCGGTTGTGATGTGGATAGACCAGATCTGCATCAACCAAGGCGACAACGAAGAGAAGGCACAGCAGATACCCTTGATGTCGAGGATCTATCAGAATGCTATGAACACTGTCATCTGGTTGGGTGAATCAACTTCGAATTCTGCTTCCGCCATAAAGCTGCTGGAAGACGTTAGGTTGCTGTTGCAGTTTACGGAAAAGACTATCGGTCCGGATGACTTCGAGGGGCTCAATCTACCCTCAAAAGATTCGGAGGTGTGGGAAGCGCTGTGGGACTTTCTCTCGCGCCCATGGTTCACGCGACTGTGGATCATTCAAGAAGTCATCCTCTCCTTTGACTCTTGGATCGTGTGCGGCAACCATATGACTACGTGGGACGTCTTGTCATTGGCCTGTCTTCATCTCTGGACCTGTGGCATCTCGAGATGGCTAGGGGAGAAGTTCAATTCTGGAAGCCGCAAACTTGACTTTCAGAGGGATCTCTGCGAGTCTGTACAGCACCTCAGCAGCATGAAGTCAAGCTACGACAGTACGGCAATGTCGCTGTTCGACCTGCTGATAGAGTCTAGGGAAGCCAAGTGCTACGACAATCGGGACAAGGTCTATGGTCTGCTTGGTGTCTGTCGAGATCAAGATAGGTCTGCGATTAAGCCAAGCTACGCAGACGACTTTCCCGTAACTCACCTCTATCGCGACATAACGACACGTCACCTGGATGACAACAAAGGCAGCTTGAGACTTGGCGTGGTCCTCACCTGCGTAGACCATGAGTCTCCCGACCTGCCATCGTGGGTACCAGACTGGAGAAATCCCCGTCGAACACACTCATTGGGACACTCTACTACCACAACAACCCCGTACATGGCATGCGGCCATCTTACGATCGAAATTGGTAGAGTTCATCCACCTTTGGAACGCAAAAATGAGGACGAGCTGCGACTGCATGGTGTTTCGGTTGACGCCATTGCAAAAGTTAGTACCGTATTTACGAATCCAGAGCTGAGTCTCGAAGATCCAACCACTGCCAACGGAGACTTGAAAGACATGCGCTCCTTTGTCGCTGAGTTACAGGAGTATCCAGGTCATGAAACCGTATTTTCTGCCTTCTGGCAGACACTGGTGGCAGGAAAAGACGCCACCGAGATGGCCAAGGCGCCGGCGGCCTATGAAGAGATTATCTCTCTTCTTCTCGACGCATCCACGGAGCTATTCCCGTCGCTCCCGGGACAAACGTACTCTGCACGACAGAGACGGCCGGTAGGCAAGGGGAAGTTAGAGCTAGCAAATCTCAAGACACGCACAGCAGGAAAAGCGTTCCAAGATGTAAGGACCTCAATGGTGCATGCTATGCGGAATCGCAGGCTGTGCTTCACTGCTAAGGGGTACTTGGGGCTGGTGCCGGAGACATGTAAAGTGGGGGACGAGGTTCACATTTTGGACGGGTGCCATATCCCGTACCTGTTGAGGAAGGTTGATCACAGGAGTCATCGGCTAGTTGGAGAGTGCTATGTGCATGGTATCATGAGAGGAGAGGCTGTCCGCGATGATCAGAGCATGGATGAGATAATTTTGATGTGAAATTTCAGCGATAAGGTTGTCAGAGCTCTCCTCATCACGATGATTGTACAATTACCTAGTCTAGCTTATGCGTAGCAACAGCTGCTAGAATATTTGTGCAGACAGTGGTAAGTTCGCAAGCATTTGCTGAGCTTTTGTTGGCTCCAATGGTTAAGCCAGGCTTGATCGTTGTTTTCCCCCGTTGAAACTCACGGTACGTTGCTCCTTCCGTCAGTATTCTTCATGGTCATTCTCGTTCCTGACAATTGGTTTATCCATCATTCCAGGGCAGGAGTGAGGCTGGCAACATACTGGACTTCAGAGGGGAGGAACATAGCTGACAAAGAGGTTTTATGTTGGAAAGAGGCCATGTCTAGTGCAACAGTTTGTTCACATCCTCAGATGCATGCCATTGCAACCCCTTCTCTCTTCCAACCTCTGCCACTCCCAACATTTATGAAACAACTCTTTCATCTATCCTGAAAGCAACAAACATACCGATTTCGAATCATCAGGTCGCGCAAAAACATCGTGTTTCAATATGGCCGAGTCAACAAAGGTTTGTACATCCCCATTTTTCGAAGCCCGTAGTCGCACCCATCTTGGAAGAGGTGCTAACATGCCGGCAGGAACAGGAGAATCCCATTATCCTCCCTTCGATCGAGTTCTCTCCGGCTGTCAAGGTTGAGAGCTCTCCTCATGTTGGTCCTCTGCCATCTTCTCCCCACAATCCTCCGGCCGAGGCTTCTGCAATCGACAACGCGCCAGCTGAGGCCTCTCCAGTCTTCGATCAATCGGCACAGGCTTCTTCAGTCATTGCGCCTCCGGTCCATTTCCACCATCCCGGCATCCCCCCAGTCCGGGCTTTTCCGCCTCTGGACCAGAATCCTCCTCTCATAAACGCAGTGGACCAAGCCCCTTCCGCTATCAATCCTCGCCCCGTCATCAGAGCCCGGACGTTGAATCCTCCTGTCGTTCTACCCCCGCTTCCTGCTCGTCGTGGCAACGAATCTCCAACTCAACCCGGCCCTTCAATTCCCCAGACAGCCGATCCTTTTCGCGTGGGAAATCCCACTCCCCCAAATCCCGGTCCAAGGGGCCGTTATAACCTTCAAGACCTGACGAACATCTGCCAGGGAATGGATGCAGAGATCTTGTCAAATGCCCTTGGCAGCACGAGGGCCAGAGGCGACGAAGGGAGCTTCAAGACGCCGTTGGAATACGCGGTCATTCGCCGAATCAGGACCATGATGATGGTGAATCGACACACGGCAGTCACTGAAAAGACTCGTATTGAAGACGACCTCAGAAAACTTTCAGGCCGAGGACGGAGCAGGCCGATTATGCAGATGAGAGGGTCGCTCGATGACATGATGAGAGGCTTTGACCGTTAGATACAGGGTATCGATGATCTTACTGCAAAGATTGATGCATGGCTGGAGGAGTATAACAGAGATTATGGTGCTGCTCCGGCGGGATCCAATAGTGCCCCTGGGCCGCCGGGCCCAGGGCCATCTGCCCCAGCTGCCTAAGTATGAGAGAGAGCTATCAGACACAGCTCACATTGTAGGATAGAGTATGGCTTGAGCGACAGCATAGTTTGTTTGGGAAAAAGGGAAGAACAGCATTCACAGAGACGTAATAGGCTTCAAGAAAGTTCGTAATTGGGTAATAGGACACAACAAATCAATTCTCTTTGACCCCATTCAACAGCCGCGACGATGCTTCGCAACATGTGTCACCGAGGTATGACCATATTGATTGAAGAAAATGCTGCTGCCGACACGTTTTCTCTTCGAGAAGGATCGAAGTAGGGCGGAAGGTGTCAGCGGGGCCACCTCTCCTCGCATCTCTTAACACCTTCTAGGTACCTTACCTTTGATTCATTCTGACCAGCAAGAGTTTCTCAGCACCTTGAATACCGAATCATTTCGTGGCCATGCTGAGTAATCTTGGAAGCCGGGAGGACTGGAATGAGAGCCTGGAACGGGGGACGGAAGGTCCGAGGGAAGGTGCTGAAGTGGGGCCGGCCTCCTACCTTCCAAGTTCTCCGAGCGTCACGTAGCTGAGCCGCGAGAAAGGAAGCCAACGGGAGCGTGGCGTCGCGACCAAAGACGTATGTTCCATCAACTGCTCCGAATGTGAAAACCGTGCTTCCTGTCCTGCTTGTTTCCTCGCTAAGGTAGGTACCTGAGGTAAGTGGTTCTTGAGACTCGCCGGGCGTTGCTGGACGTGACAATTACGATCATGAGGAGGCACAGCAACTCGGCCGGGTTCCGCCCCTGTTGCATGTCGCTGAAGCCAAGAATTTGTACCAAGTCGGAATGGGCCGGAGCAAGCAGAGATACTATGTAGAATGTTGGATATTGTTTGTCCACTTATTGAAACTTAGAAGCGTATGAGAGGCTCATGAAAGTGGGAGTAAAGTGACGCAGCATTGCATCCATACGGGCCCCAAGCTTTCCTTCCCGGAGACTCGAGAGCCACAAACGGACACAACAGGTGCGGGTACCAGAGAAATGGAGACGACGCTATTCTTCTTCTGGAAAGGCCTGGCGCAGATCTTGATCAGTCCCAGAAAACTGCCCGAGGCACGAACTCCGTCACGCGTTGATTGGCCGTCGTCCCAAGCAATGAATTTGGATGGCAGAATCAACTTTTATTCCCGTGCTTGAGGAAGAAAAAGGCCACGAAAATACGTAGGAATCGGGCAGGATGAGGTGCCATTGGGAGTTCCAATTGTTTCGACTCGACACTATATGACTGGCCCGGCTATGGCATTCGAAGCTGGGGCTTCTCTCTGCTCTTTGCTCACTCTCAGCTACCTCCCTTGCCCGGGTCTTGCTGGGTGAAAGAAAGTCTGAGTTGGAAGGAAGTCGCCGTCGTGCTGCACCTTCCCCCAATTTTCCCCAATCTCACCTCCTTCCCTATTCCCCTCAATAGGTGTTGCCCCCTTGCACTTTCCCCTTCTTTCCCAGGTTCCCCTCACGCCCTACGGTCTCTCTCTCGGTGGTGATCCTCCACGATACGATGCTCACCTCTCAAAGGGCCCCAGAGCATGTATCCCCGTATCTCTCTTTTGCCCTCCAGTCCGAACTCCAGCCATCCACACATTAGCCCATCATCGCATGCCATCCTGGCTTTGAACCATTTGATACGACTGCGCTAACATCTCCAGTGCTCCACGCGCTTGATGTAGACAAGACCATGTCCTTGGCTTCCCACTCGAACATGACGTCGTCGCCCTAGACTCTTTGACTTTCCCGCCATCTGATACGTGCGCTTAAGACGACTCGATGATATCGCAGCATGTTTGCGACTCAACCACCTGCTGTCACTCTGAAATTGCTTCAAGCCGCTTGTCGCCTGCCGGCTAACCTTGCTTACGCATCTTGGGCCGTGCCTTTACGGCACTTTTACCTCAGAGCCTCTGCCCGAGATCTCCACCGCCCGCTCAGCCGCCCGTTACCGGCTCTTGAGTGAGGCGCCACTCAAGGTAGTCGGAGCATGTGGGCTCCGTTTGCTCGAATCTCTCAAAGGCGCGCCTCTCGGTGTTAGTCTGTTGGTGGTATGGGAAATCTTGTTTGATACCAGAGTGCACTATCTATATAACTCTTCATCTTACCTTCGACATTCCAACTTACCTCTCTGGTTCCAGACTTGGTTTGATTGCAGCGTCGCAGCCTGTCGTCCTTTGATCCATATCGCCATTTGACTTGTCAGTGTACCAGAAAAGCCTTGGAGAGGCACGACTTCAAGCCCATCATGTTTCACATTTACAACATTTACGGTACGTGCTCTTTGTCTGATCTTCTCGGCCCCAATCAACATTGCCATATCACTACGTTTCCAAATGCTGATTAGTGACTTGTAGCGCTCGCCGCCTTTGGCACCATCGGCGGTATGCTTTTCGGTTTCGATATCAGTTCCATGAGTGCGTGGATCGGCGCAGACTCCTATAAAGAATACTTCGGACACCCGAGTTCGACCCTTCAGGGAGGCATCACGGCCTCCATGTCCGGTGGCTCCCTCGTCGGTGCTCTAGTCGCTGGTTTCCTGGCTGATTCATACGGCCGTCGCGGCGCTCTCAAGCTCGCCTCTGTCATTTGGATCATCGGTGCTGTTCTCCAATGCTCCTCCCAGAATGTGGCCCACCTCATTGTCGGTCGCGTTGTCTCTGGTCTGGCCATTGGTATCACAAGTTCCCAATGCTGCGTCTATCTTGCTGAACTGGCTCCCTCCCGCATCCGCGGGCGTATCGTCGGCATTCAGCAATGGTCGATCGAATGGGGCATTCTCATCATGTACCTTATCTCTTACGGCTGTATCGTCAGCATCCCCACCGATCCTAAGGCATTCCGCATCGCTTGGGGTATTCAGGGCATTCCTGGCCTCATCCTCGGAATCGCTCTCCTCTTCTTCCCCGAATCGCCACGTTGGCTAGGCCAGAAGGATCGTTGGGAGGAGTGCCACGAGGTCCTTGCCCATCTCCATGCTGGTGGTGACCGCGAAGCCCCTATTGTTCTTGCCGAGCTCGATGAAGTTAGGGATGCTGCCCGTGTTGCCGCCGAGTCCAAGGACGTTACTTTCTTTGGTCTTTTTGGACCGCGTGTCTGGAAGCGCACACTCGCCGGATGCAGTGTACAAGTTTGGCAGCAAATGCTCGGCGGTAATACTTTCTTATACTATTTGATTTTTCTGTTTAACATGGCAGGAATGGTGAGTAATTTCAAATCATGACCCAAATCTTGCATAGCTGACCTGTTACACAGTCTGGCAACGTGGCTTTGACTTCCTCTATCATACAATATGTAATTTTCCTTGTTACCACTGGCGCCATCCTCCCCATCATTGACCGTCTCGGTCGTCGTCCTCTCCTCATCGGCGGTGCCATCATATGCTGCATCATCCACTTCACTACTGGCGCTGTTATGAAGGTCCATGGCAACCCTGTTGACAGCGTCAATGGCGATGATAACTTGAGGTGGGAGGTCACTGGAGCCCCGGCAAAGGGCGTCATTGCCCTGTCTTACATCTTTGTCGGTGTTTACGGTCTTACCTGGGCTCCTATTGGCTGGATCTATGCTTCCGAAGTCTTCCCTCTCAAGTACCGTGCGACTGGCGTCGGTCTGGCCGCGGCCTCCAACTGGGCGTTCAACCTTGCCCTCGCCTTCTTTGTTCCTCCTGCCTTCACCAACATCCAGTGGAAGACGTACATGATCTTTGGAGCCTTTTGCGCTGCCATGACTGTACACATCTTCTTCACATACCCAGAGACTTCTGGCAAAAGTCTTGAGGAAATTGACGACCTTTTCGACTCCAACACTCCTGCCTGGCGTACCCGAAGAGCTGGCGGACGCTTTGGAGATCGAATCGCCGCTGCTGAGGGTAAGAAGGAGGGCTTCAATACTTCGCATGCTGAAAAGGTCGAAGTATAGATCTACTTCTTTTCTTGTATAACAGGCATCGAGAATTAGATGATGCTCTCAAGCTGTAACGAGACCCCTTAGCCAATTTTCTCTTAGCTTCATTTTACTCCTACATTGTCTTGCGCCGAAATGTAGGTGATTTTGGCGACAACATTCGACTCTACTATCTAACCCGGGTGTTCTTCATGATGTACTGCTGAAAAGGCGATTCATTTTTTGCTACATCAGTATCCGTAATGATGGTTTGGAGCAGCGGTGGCTGCCTTTGCGGTCGTCTTGCGTTTCGCTGCAGGAAGGGAATCATGTGATGTGGCTGTCACCAATGACGTCGATCTGTGTCTTGACGTCATCCTTTGGGTGTCACTCACCTACGGTCAATCTGCCATTAGTCCAATCCTGCTACTTCGAAGGTCATTGCATATAAGAGATACTTCATCGATCTTAATCTACATACCACAATAGATTCTACGAACCATTTGATTCCTCAAATTCTTGTCAAAACTCACAAGAAGGAGATCACCATACTCCCACACCATGTCTTCCCAAAACACCAACACCAACACCCAACAACCCGGCCTCATCGCCGGCCACGCCGAATATATCAAAGGCGCCGCCGAGGTAAGATATTAGGCCTGCAATGCATCAAGTTTCAGCCGCGACAGCCAGGCAAGTAATGATACTGACAGAATGGACACAGGCCGCCATTGGCAGCGTAACGGGCTCGCACGCCTGGACATCATCCGGAGAGCAGGATAAGGCGCACGCCGCGTCAACGATGAAGGCTGCTGGTGAGCAGCGTGATGCGTCGACGCAGGGGTACGGCAAGGCGGAGGAGATTGCTGGCAAGGCGTTTGGGTGTGAGGGGATGAAGACTGAGGGGGCTGCTAGTAAGAAGGAGTAACTAGAGGTTATGGGACATTACGATTTCCCTGATGATGGGGTCTGTACGATTAATACATGGCGATGCGGTTACGAGATTTAATATGTTTATTGAAGACCACTGAGAGCATCTGATGACGTTCCAAGTACTAAAATCTGCATCGTATTTGTGGACGCATAGCCCACCAGCAACGTTGCAAGATGAAGAAACGAATCCCGATCAAACATTCCACAAGAATTGCGACAGAGTTGCGTCTCTATCTACAACTTCAAATGCCTTGCTTGCATGCACCAGCCATTTAAGTTCAGACAGCTTCTTTCTCTTGCGGTATGTCTTGGAATTGTCAACGATGATGTCAAGCACAGAGTCGACCATGGACATTCCACGAATCGCGTGAAGCTCAACGGGCGGAATAAACTTCACTGCATCCTTCAAATCGCTCTCGTCAATGATCTTGCCAAAGTTCTCGAGGACCTTGACACACAGGTCAAAGATGGCAAAGTAGTTGATCCGCGCCACGGGGACAGGCCCGTTGAATTCTGCCAAGACCGTCTCTTTGGCCATGTGAATCACCGTCGTGAGCGGCTGCGGCTGCGATGCGCTCTTCTTGACAATCTTCTCTTCCTCGGCTTTGGTTGTTGGGGCGCTTTGCCCGTTGATCCGGGCCAGGAAGACGGGGCCCGTCTTGTGGTTGACGGCGTGTTGGTCGCAAAAGATAGACGAGAGCGGCGGGACGATGGACTTGTTGCTCTTCCACTCGATGGCGGACTTGGTCTTATTGAGGGGTCCGCCGTACACGATTCGACGGTAGATAGAGAGGAAGTTTCTGTCAGGCAAGTCCCCTTGAAAGACGTTGACCTTGAAGAGGTTGCATACTTCCTCCATGATCGGAATCTCGGCGAGGTTGAAGTCGGAGCGCCGGAGGGCGTTATAGAGGTGAAGTGTCGCCGGGACTATACACAGACCCCCACCGGTGCAACAGCCGACCATGTATCTGCCCATATGTTGAGCCTGGAACAGCATCTCTCCCATGTGTCCACCAGCGGTCCAAGGGGCTCGGTAGTAAAATTGGGTACAGTCTTCGGTGGCGTAGGCATCCAGGGCCCCGTGGAACTCGTCCATCTTCTCCAACAGAGCTGTGTAGGAAACGCTGTCAAGGGAGGCCCTCACGACTTTCGACGAGGAGTCAACCGCATTTCTCATTTGAGTTGCGAGATCGAGAGCAGTGTCTCTTGCATCAAGATCTTCATTAGACTCTCCATTCGGCCAGCGAAAAATGTCAAACGTCGTTATGAGCAGATCCAGGCCGAGGATTAGCCCCGCCAAGGGGGCAAGATACGGTACATCGGTCGAGGCAGTATGGTCTGGCGGGTCCATTGAGTCAGACTGCTCTTCCTCTGGGGGAGGAACGTCTACACAGTCATGGAAATCAGTGAGGTAAAACAGAAGCGGCTCAGACGATCCGGCTCGCACCAAGAAGGCTTTCTCGTGGACTTCCAGTCGCTCCACCGGGCGTTTCTCATTCCAATATTCGCATGAATTTTGCAAAACTTCCAAGGCCCCTAGCATATGCTCCTCGTCATATTTGCCATCCGGAGTTGTCTGAACATGGGGAGTGTCAGGGTCTCTTCGGATGAGCACCTTGTCGTGTTCGGCCTTGAGCAAGTCGCCGCGTTGAGCGAAATGGTCTCTGTTACGTTTCCACGATTGTATGAAGTCGTAAAAGTCGCAAAAGCGGCGAAAGTTGAACAATCCGTCGATCTCGGAGTCGATCTCGGGTTGCGCGACAAGAAACTTCAAGACCTTGACGCAGTACTCGTGCATCTCCTCGCTGATCGAGGGAAAGTATTCACCGACGAGCTGATTCCCAAGCAAGAACACCGTGCTGGTAAGCCACGCTGCGACGGGAATAGGAAGGGTTCTTTTCGCAGCCTCGGTCCAGAACTGCATCAGTTGGTCGCGCATCAACGCAGCTTGCTGAGAGATTCATTAGTTGAGGGTCTAGAAGTCGCAGCTTGGAAGGAACGGCCCATGACTTACGTATAGAAGGAACGAAACCTCGAAAACTCGGCACATGTCATCGTCTTCGAGGAAAACTTCAACCTTGCAATGTTGCTGACGCACAACGACCTTGCCCTTGGCTGATCGCCTATGGGGTGCAGCAGTGACTTTCGAGGTGCTAGGCAGAATCGGGGAAACATCGCCGTCGTCGTTATGTTCTTCTCCTTCCAATGCGAGTGCAGCAAATTGGTTGAGCGTCACGGCGTCGATGCCTGGAATCTCTGAGTTGGGAAGTCTCTTCGATGCCTCCATAAGGGGCTTCAAGATACGGGAGGTCTCCTGTAGTCTGATGTGGCCATTACTGTCAGCTCAGGTCTAAAATCTCATATTGGGGTGAGGTATCTCACTACCTCTTGACGAAGTGGTCATGGCTGGGATCCTCAGCACCCGAGTGCTTATAAATGTTCCCGACTTCTTGGCGCTTCTCGATGGCATGGTGAAGAGCTCCAATAACGGAGAGGGGAACAACAGTGTTTGACTCGTGGAGAACCTTGGCAACTTTGACAATGTCACTGGTAAAAGTAATCGGACGTGGATTATCGTCTCCAGGCCTCGCAGATTTGTATTGAGCTACCATCCATCCCAGGAAGCAATTCGTTGAGAGTTTGTACGCCTCATAAGAAGCCCGAAGGCTGCGGCTATCGCCTGAAGACATTTTATTTGACTTTGATCTCGCAAAAAGAAGCGTGAAAAGCGTGGTGTCGATCTGGCCCGGGGAAGTGAGCAATGTGAAAGAGGTCGAGTTCAGAAATGCACTGGTAGAGGCTGAAGGGGCGAAGATTCGGAGGGGACGGATTCAGATAGTTAAGTATCAACTTGAGGTACTGAGTGAAGGACCCTACAACTGGCATATTTGGAAGGTGCTGTGAAAGTCACCTTCGCATGCGGAACGGAGCACTTTCCAAGTTTGCTCGGTGCATTCACATTACTGATAATATCATAGTGAATGCGGTAGATATCTCTTTGAAAGCCCCTCCCTACCGGTCTGAAAGGCAGCCATTGAATTCTTAATTTCAAGCAGGCCTACTTTCTGAATGGTGGCTCATCCACCATGTTGGGATAATTTCTGATACATGCCATCCACTGAATGGGAAATTTGGAACCATTCTGTTGTCAGGGTTCGAAGTAAAAAGCAGAATACTCTCAAGACCTATTGTTCCTGATCAGCTGTCTTGAAATTGTTAACATCTGGATGAAATGAGTCATCTTGACATTAATACTGGGAAATAGATTTGATCAGACTTTAGATCAAGCTTACATACCGGACCGTATTACCTATTACAGCCTCGGCTGCAGCACTTTGCATTCGTGATAAGTCTGATACTCATTCCTACATCTTAACATGAAGACGAGACTTTCCAATGCTGGATGCAGAGGCATTTTTAAGCGAGGCTGCCTCTAGCGTCGACACTCTGAATGGGCTATCTTCAAGCCCAGTGATGAACGGAATACAGCATGGAAAACGCTTGTGCTCGTTTGCTGCAAGGGGTTGTAGCACAAGCCCTATTGTATCTCCAAACAAAAGCTAGATTGTGTTTCCTCTCGGATTGGGATTTCTACTGCCCGGTAAAGAGGTTGTTTCTGGCCATCAGGGAGGCTCAGCTTGTAATACCTAACGCTGAGAAAGGCATTTCACCAAGTTGATGGCACCATTGTCAGCGGCCCTAGTAATGAATAGTCACAATTGATAGCAGCGCAAGCAATATCTTTGTTGGACCAAGTCTTTCATAAGAAATTCATTCACCATCTCGCGTAACTGACTTTAGCTTGAAGTGGCAACAAGCATACAAGGTCCAAATTCTGGCGAATGTTTCCAATCCTCGTGAGAAGCTTGTCAACCATTCAGACCAGTAACAAGCCATACTCAACATCGAGAAGTAGCCGCAGCGAAGATCCACACGCAAAACATGGTCTTAAGTCTTAGCAAGTACACGGAACAAAGTTGTCTTTAGACGACTTTTTGTGGGTGCTTGATAGCTTCACTTACGTTCGGTATTACCCACCGCAAGGCCCGGAGACAATCTCTTAGGGGATTTTGATTTGGAAGAAATCCATGTAAAGTCACGCTTTTTTCCATGCATATTTGCATTTAAATAGGTTAAGTGGTGGCTGGCTACGCTTAGTAGGAGCTGATTTGGCGCCAATGTTCGAGTCGGGTGTGACGGGAAGCCAGCCGAAAGCAACATCTCAAGATCAATTTGGTCCGGAGCTAATAGGACGAAGATTATAACCTTGTTTGAATCATTCTATTTCAAGATTTTAATTATGCCTACGGTCCTAGTCTGTCTGTAAGGACTGGCTCCAGTATGAAATCCTTCAAGCCACCATGTTTAATCGACTGCCCCGTGAATAGAAACCAATTCGCTCTCTGAAACTCCCAATCCTCAACGCCACCACCTAGCAAAATGCCTGGTATTTTCCAAAATTCCCGTAGTGCCAATTACCACCCGCCATTCTGCTTGCGACGAATCTCCTGGTCAAGCTGGTCCTTCATATTCTGGCGTCTCTGGATCTCGTCATCGAGACGGTCCTTCATGCGCTCTCTGTTGCGGATCTCCTGGTCGAGTCTGTTCTTCTCGGAGTAGTCGCAGTTACCGCCGCCATTGCCAGAGCTGAAGCCACCACCAGAGTTGAAACCACCGCCAGAGTTGAAGCCACCACCGTTGTTTCCGTTCTTGTATGCTCCACCGTTTCCGAATGATCCACCGTTGCCATATGTGGCAGCAGCGTTCACATTTTTGGCAGCTTCAGCTCGGGTCTCGATGGAAGCGACGGAATCGACTTCAATGTCTGGGACGTTGCGACCACTTAACAGTGGCGTTGCGATAACGCTGGAGATGAGGGTGGCGATAAAGAGGTTTTTGATGGCAACCATTTTGATGGAGTTATGATAAGCCGAGATGCTCGAGGCGAAGTGTAGGAGGAGTTGATTAGTTGTGGAGATGTTTTTAGGTGAGGTGGTCTTGGGTGAGATGAGCTTGTTCGATGAGGCTGCTGATCAACCATTGTCGATGACAGTGGAAATACACTATCCTTATGTACTTCTTCTGTCCTTAGAGTCAAAACCACTAATGCCGAGACCGACACATCAAAATCTCCCCGTTTAGTCTTTTGACTAGGCAGAGTGCGTTCGACGCTATCATGCACATCGAATGGCCTTGGCCGACAAGCTTCGGCATGGTGAGGTAGGTGACACCATCACAATTCGGCCGCATGCCATCGGCGGTAACCAATTTTCTCCATTTGTTGCGAGCTACGAGAGCGACCACGAAAGTTTCCATCTCCGGTATGCCTCAAGGGAACTGGGCGTTGGGCAGGCCGACGGCACGCTCGGATGCATACAACATCACGCCTCGCTCGGACTGTTGTCGTTCGTGAGTTGCCATTCTGCCAGTAGCAAGTTCGGATGAAGCCCTTGGAGTTGCTCATGGCTAGCCAGAAAGCGAAAGCCCGTGGGCGAGGGGTTAAGCTTTTTCTCTGGGCACAGCCAGATTATAGACCAACACGGTTAGCTTTGGGGTGACGACTGCAACATGGAGGCTCGCGACTCAGGCAGGATGCCGGTTGACGACCGTGCATGACTCCCGCCGACAGATGGAAACGAAACTGGATAAGGCTTGGCAGGTAGGGCTGGCACATACCAACGGGCTGCGCGCAGCACACGTTCTCTAAGGGGAAGAGGGGAAGACAGGATGGGGTTAGAGTAAACGAGGCGGAAACTTCGGCGTAGTGGGCGAAACGTTGACTCTCTTCGCTCGGAGCACCTAGTAGTCGTACGCGGCAAGTGGCCGACATTTCTAGAAACACCACGCTAGTCTTCACAGGGTCTCTCTTGCCGACATAACTTGCATAGCCCAGAGCTTAACGGGTGATCGTCAGCGGTCTGGAAGAGGTCGATGCGTGACATGTTGGTTCGCGGGCATCCCACGCGGTCTCCGGTTCGATCGTAACTTTCCGCGGATAGTTAACGATAGCGAGTTATGGCCTACCGACGATCCCGACGGGGTGGTAGAGACGGGAAGCCGTCGATCATCGGAGTGCGATTCCGCCTTGGAGCCCAATGGGCGATCCCCCAACCGATTGCCGACGCGACCACGCTTTGCTGCACGATGACTTCGGCGTTTGATCTGCCCTGTCGGCGGGTAGCACTGAGGCGCTGCCGAATGTGCTCTAATTGTATGCTTATTTCATAACAAAGCTCGGAACCACACGCTATTCGCTGTCGGTTCACGAGTCCGAGATTTCCATTGCCTATTTACTTAGTACGCTGTTTAGGCATGCTTGTTTGATTTTCTCCATAGTTCATAACTTCACACTTAGAACCATGCCTGCGTTCCGTTCAGCAGCCGTCACGCTCGGCTTATCCTCGAGAAAAGGGTCGACCTGCCAGATCGACCTCAGAGTTCTGCCAGATATGCGTCTCATGCTTTGCTGTCATTTGACTCCCGTAAAGCAAGGCAGAGTTCTAGCTTCCACGTACGCGTCGCCGATTCCATGAACGAGTCTGATTTGTTGCCCCCTTGTCAATCCATTAGCCTCGTCCAATGCCAGTGCCCCAATCATTTTAAACACTTCTTAGCTCCTCGTTTGAGTCCTTGAAATCCCCGTAGTCCCCGCCCGTGGCCCCGCCACTTGGACCACGCCCGCTTGGTGTCATTTAAGCTTTCTTGTGCCTAGGATCAAGGGTTGTGAATTTGTCAACGCAACATGCCCGGCTAGGCAGTCGGCCGAGACTTACTATTTGCCCGGACCAAGAAATGTTGTGTAGTAGTCGCCAAATCGTCACGGGGATGCAGCAAAACATTCATTGTCAGTTCGACCAAATCTCGTACCACCTCAAGATTGTGTGACAGAATCATCAACGCTTTTCAAGTTCTGCTAACTTTTGCTAAGCTTTTTTTTTCTTTCTTTTTGGAAGCTGCAGTAGTCTGCCACAGCTGGCTGACCAAGTGCTTACCGCCATCACCAGGCAGGCAGCAAACTTACATGTATCTTTCCTAACGATCATACTTATTTGGACACACCCCTTTCGAAGCTTGCCAAATTATAAATCTCCCAGGTTGGAGGTAGTTTCCCTCCTTCAGTTAAGAAATCGGTGAAAGATAGATTTCATCTGGCAAGGATCTCTGCGGAACATCGATCTCCGGTTTCTTGATGAAGAGTATCTGAAACTTCGACAGCCTTCAGAAGAACTAGTCTGATTCCACACACTGGCACACTGGAATGCACTGGACGATTGATCTTGGCTAGATGTAGCTGTTATGTGGCGATTGCCGCATTGGACAGAGCAAGGTGTGGCTTGAGCGATAGTTTGACTTAACTAGTTGGCTATCAGGTCTATATTTGTGTCTTCGACTAACCTTCTCATGCTTGCCTGACTCAAACTTTGTGGAGATTTGGGTCTCTCTGCTTCGAAGTCAAAACTTTTCTTGGGCGGCATTGATGACCTTTTGCCCCTCAGCGCATTTGCGAACTAACAAAGAAGAATCACAGACTACATTAACATCAAACGGTATGATGTTTTCCCGAAACAACTCAACTTGACAATTTCGACTGAATTTGAGGTTGGATTGAATATAGACTTGGTTCAATAAAGTGGATCACCAGAGACAGATACAGGTCCTTCACATGGAGCAGAGCATAGTGATGCCATTCTCCTCGCTCTCAGCGCCCTACACCAGTACGAGTCCTAAGCTTCTCTGAGAGCCGTTACATAGATGTAAGATTCCACTCTAGGGCACCTCGCAACATGTCCATGATAAAGGGCGGTGGAGATGTAGTGAACATATAACCCCTGCTCGTGTATCGGAGCTCTCGAATCAAGCTCTGTGGTCCGGTGAGAAACCCCGCGGGCAAACCAAAAATGCGGTTGAAAGAACCGCAAACCAAGACGTGAATGTTTGTCCGCGAGGGGAAAGAGATCAGTTGCCTTGGGTCCAAATATTGAGAAGTGCAGTGAAGGAGGATGGTCATGACGGATTCCGGACCTGTGATGGCAGCAATCTCTTCGAGGATAGACGAAAGAAGATGGTGTGCCGAATCCTCTCCGACGCGCACGTATACCGTAAGACACAACTTTCTGTTTCTTCGATAGAGCTTTCTAACCTGTTGTACAAGTTGAAAGAGATCGACGTAACCCAGTAAAGTGGGAGCATCCTTCTTTGATGCCATTGCAAGGCCATCCCGAACAAACTGGGATGCACCTCGTTCAAACAGCATGAAATGCTTCGTATGTCCTATCAGAGGGCGTGACAGCGCTGCTATAGTGGAAGCCAACCCGATAGAGGCGTCCGCATAGGTCAAGGCGGCCTCCATACCCGTGGCACGAGCAATGAGGTCCTCAACCACAAGATGGGGAGGAAACGTGCCGCAGATCCATCTGGCACCGCCTGCTCCAATTCCATACTGAGCACGAGATCCATGACCTATGTCGAGAATTCGAGGACCGCAAGTGCTATCGAATAGCTGCCTCTGGCCGCTGTGCGGGCCCATGGCAGCGTCCATCTTGATCAAGCTGCGTACCCAGTCAAAGACCCTCGAGGCCTCGTTGCAATCCTCCTCTCCATCGAGGTCTTCTATCTTGGTCTTGAAGAAAGAACGAGATATCTTTCTCATCCTCCCCATACCAACGCTTGCTGCAGCGCGGATAACAGCATTAACAAGCCTGTTCACCTCCTCGTCTGTGAAGTCCGCCGAAAGGTTGATTCGAACTCTGCTCTCCCAGAAAGGCACTGCTGGGGTGCAAACTGGTGTTGCGAGTAGTCCGGCGCATCTAAGGGCGTAAGAGAGCTTCGCAGAAAGGCTAGGCCTGCCGGTGTAGATAGGTAGAACCGGTGTACCGACGTCACCATAAACGAATATGCCGAAGCGTTCCAGTTCCTCACGACAGAATCGGGAAATCTCAGCAAGCCGTTGAAGGTTACGACTGATTCGATGTGGCTGCCCCAGTACCCATAACGTCTGAACCATTGTCGAACTAGGCAAGGAGATATTGTCCTGGTCGTCGAGGCCGTCGATGCGCTCACGGATGATGTCCTGAAAGACAGCCTTCCCGACGATAATACCTCCGATACCACCGACAGCTTTGGAAAGTGTTCCAGTGCGAATGTCAATCAGATCCCAGGGTAACGGGCTCTCTGGGTGGTGGTCGTTCCAGTATTCGAGGCATCCGCGACCCGTCTTTCCAAGAGAAAGGAAGGAGTGCGCCTCATCGCAGTAAAGAGTGAATTCGTAGTCCTTCTTCAAACGATGTAGGAGATCCAGGGGGGGTACATCTGCTTCCATACTACGGTGTCTTAAGTCAGTACCTGATAGACCCTCAACCCACGAGAGGTACAAGATGATTTTCACAAACCTGTAAAGACCTTCGATGGCCACTATGACATTGACAGACTCATCAATACACCCGCTCAGTAAGGTTTCAAGGTGTTCCATATTGTTGTGCTTGAACTTGCGCAAGTTTGGTGAGGAGGCCAGAAACACGCCGGTGAACATCGAGTTGTGGCAGTTCTCATCCATGATAACCACAGTGGAGCAATCGATCAATGCCGGCAGTGCGATGTAGTTAGATCCATATCCAGTGCTGGTGGTGAAGCAAAAGTCTGCTCCAAAGAAGTCTGCGATCGCATGATGCGTTTCGTCTCGGAGAAGGGGAACAGCCTGTGTGTCGGACACCGGCAATGCTTCCAAACACAGCCGCTGCAACTCCTCAGCCTGAGAAGTAGCCTTGTAGAAGCCAGCATAGTTGTGAGAAGCTCCGTTGACAAGACTCGTCACGGAACCCAGTGCGTCGGAGGCTTCGACTCGGCCGAGACATTGTGTGGTGAGAACACGATAGTTTGCGCCCCACCAATTGAAAAGGGGCTCAACGTAGTTGTAGGAGAACAAGCCCTTCTGGGAGATCGGCCTGCGTGTGCTCTTGTTCTCGTTCAACAGGACTCGGAGTCTTGTTATTGCTAATCGGACTAGCTCGCGGACCTTCTCGGTGCTTGTCACACGGGGAGGTCGGCGTGTCTTGGGGGCGGCGAGAGATGACGTGGTACAGGTCGAGAGACTTGAGAAAGTACGCTTTCGTTCCGAAATCTCAGAGACAGCTGAGATCGAGACAACGACACTCTTGATATCACCCATTTCTTGCCCAGAAACTTTCCACTCGCCCGCTGAAGAATAGAATGTAGAGAGTGGGCAAGGTATGTATCGAAAGGCAGGATAGGTTGGAACGAGGCAGGCGATCCAAGTGTCGGTAGAATACTGCCTTCGGGGACGCAGAGAGCCTTTTCTAATTATCGTGAGTCCGCCTGCCGGACGCCCACCGTAGATACGGTCGAGGCAGTGGAACACGGCACTGCTCCACGATCCTCAGTGCTCGCAGGAGTGAGCGAAAGGGCACAGGATCCATCCTCCTCGGACACAAAGTTGATCACCTGGGTCCTCATTCAATCCCTAAGCGCCACATCCTCCATATTTTTGGGTTCTCCTCCCAATACTGACCTCTTTTCCCTCTGTGGCTCTGTTGCTCTGATTGTGGATGTCGCGTGAGCGATTTCTGACACATTGGTGAAGATAGTGCAATGCCGCATACTACCTACGAAGTGTGCCCGCAAGTTGATACTTGTTTGGCATAGTGCCGTTGCTCATAAATGACCAGCCTAAGCATAATTGTTCGAGAGAAGGTATCGCGAGCTCTTCAGGCTTCACACAAGTACAACGGAGGCATCTGGGCGAGTTATGTATGAGGGATTTGTCTTGGCGGTCTAGTCAATTAGGGATTTGGGGGACGGGCGCTTGACACTACTTATTTATGGGGAGCAGTAAGCTTTTCTGATTTTAGCATGTTCCCCATTCGCCGGTCAACTCCTTGTCGGCTTTCCTGTCTGGGGTAAAGTGCAGGCAGTTGTACGTATATGCAATGCGGTATTAATCTCCAACGTCTTTGGAGCTCTGACGGCAGTTCTCCATGCGGCGGCCCTTGCAAGTCTTCCTTTGTGTATCAGGAGGCCTCCGCGTTGTAAACAGTCAGTTTACTAGAAGGAAAAAATACCTTTCACATGAGAAGGCCATCTTGAAAGATACCTCACCTTGACTTTGGTAGTCTCGTCACCACGATATGACCTCGCGTATGACTGTCAGTGGAGCCGGACATTGTGCGAACTCCGACATATGTTCTCTCGCCAACGTGACCCGCAGCTTGACTAGTCGGGATTTCCACCACGGCTCAATGTCCTATTCAAGAAGACAAACCTTCTGACAGAATCTTTCCGCAGATGGTTCTGTAAGTCAGTGGTTCTATCGAAGTTGCATGTATCCTTTCGACGCCGGGAGGTTTGGACGTTACGCCCTTGGCGAAAATCCCTCGTGGGTCTGAAGAAACCATCAACGGCCGCAGTTGCCGAAGCCGAGATGGTCTGCTTTTATTTGCTCTTTCATTGAAAACTTTATTTTTGTCTTGATCATGAGACGTATTCCGTGCAATGCAGCAGCATCTGGAGAGACCCGTAATTAGCATATTGACTTCCATCGGAATAGAGCCTTCGAAGGCAGCCTGCGCATCCCCTAACGAAGCTGTCATTGATGCCATTGTGTAAAGTCTCAGCATCGTTCCTGACATTTTTCTCAAATCACGGTCTAGAAACCTCGGAATGCTGAACCATCTCAAGTGAAACATCTGTCCAGTCTTCCCTATACCTTGATATCCCCAAAGCGAATCTGTCACAGATCATTAGCTCTGTCATCAAGATCTTTCTGAGTCTCAGCCATGGACACAGGTATTGATGAAGAGTCAACCAAGCTTTTTTTTGGCATTGAAGTCCCTATTCCCGGGCCAAGACGTATGTTGTCTGCAAAAAGCAATCCTTCAATTTAAATCAAGGGGCAAAATATTGATCGGGTCTTAGCATTGCCCATCCTCGGGAATATCTTGGACATTGATCTCGTCAGCCCTCTGGACTCCCTTATTGGGCTTGTTAGAAAATACGGTGAATATCTGCAGTCTTCTATTTTTGTCATACAATACAGGTGTGCAGGTCTCTTATGCTGATTTTCCAGGCCCTATTTTCTCTCTTACCTTTGCTGGCACGAGGGAGATAACTGTTTCAAGTCGTGAGCTCGTGAATGAAGTCAGCGATGAGAGTCGGTTCTGTAAGATCGTCACGAGTGGCGTTGAGACAATGCGAGCAGCAGCCGGCGATGGGCTCTTCACAGCGCAGCACAATAATCATACTTGGGGTGTGGCACACCGCATCCTCATGCCGGTGTTTGGACCCTTGAAAATTCGCAGCATGTTTGACGACATGAACGATCTTTCTGAGCAGTTATGTCTCAAATGGTGAGCAGATTATGATGCAACATCCGGACATCATGTGACCGACTGGCTAACAAGCAATAGGGCCCGACACTGTCATTCTGCGCCTATTGAGGTGGCTGATGACTTTACCCGGTTGACGCTGGACACCATTTCTCTTTGCGCCATGGATTATCGCTTCAATAGCTTCTATCTCGACAAGAAAGCTCATCCATTCGTGGAGAGCATGGTGGAAGTCCTCGCTGAAGCGGATCTACAAGCTGTTCTTCCTGACGTTTTCAGTCTCCTTCGGCCCAGAGCAATGTCCAAGTTTCGAAACAATATCGAGCAGATGCAGGCTACTTGCCGCGAGATCATTGCTCAGAGGCGTCAAGCCAACGGCAAAAAGATGCCCAATGACCTCCTCGATGCTATGCTCAACGGCAAAGACCCGGAGACTGGTGACTCTCTGAGCGAAGAGGCAATCGTACACAACATCATCACTTTTCTGGTCGCCGGTCATGAGACTACTTCAGGTCTTCTGTCTTTCGCCATCTACTACTTAGTAGAACATCCCCAGGAGTTGAAGAGGGCACGGGAGGAGGTAGACAGGGTCGTGGGTCATGGCCCAATCAATGTGGACCATCTACAGCAACTCCCCTTTTTGGACTCCGTCTTCCGAGAGACATTGCGTCTTATGCCTACGGCGCCGGGATACTATGTTACCCCGTTTAAGGACGAGATCATTGGTGGAAAGTATCTGGTTAAGCCAGGTGAAGCTTTGTGTGTTCTCCTGCACACACTTCACCGTGATCCCAAAGTTTGGGGTTCCGATGCGGAAGACTTCAGGCCTGACAGGATGAGGAACCTGGAAAACATCCCTCAGAATGCCTGGAAACCTTTCGGCAACGGTATGCGCGGTTGTATTGGTCGAGCCTTCGCTTGGCAGGAGGCTCAACTCGTGAGTAGCCCAATCCTCCAGATTCTGACCTTTTTTCTCATGTTCCTGGTGGCTCACGACCGTTGTAGGTCATCTCAATGATTTTGCGCAACTTCGACCTTTCTAAAGGCGACCCCAACTACAAACTCAAGGTCAAGCATCTTCTCACCATCAAGCCCGCCAACTTCAAAGTCCGTGTCAGCTTGAGAAATGACAAACGCCCGACGGACTTCCTGAAAAGTCTGAAAACGATTCCGGAGCCCATTCCGAAGCCCATTGCCAATCCTACGGTGATCAGCCCTTCGTTCCTCGACCCAATAACCATTCTATTTGGTTCAGATGCAGGCACCTGCGAGGCAGTGGCTCAGAGAATCGCCATTGAAGCTGGGGCAAAGGGATATAGCCCAATGGTCCTGCCTATGAATGACGCAGTTGATCAGCTACCACAAAATCAGCCTGTCATTCTTGTCTCTGCTTCTTATAACGGACTACCGTCTCGCAACGCAGCCAAGTTTGTGCCTTGGGTTCAAGGTCTCAAGCCCGGAGACTTGCAGCATTTGAAGTACGCTGTTTTTGGTTGTGGTATGTTCTGATTCCCGCGGACCCCTGAAGATACGCACGGGCGGCTTCGCATTCATACACAAACTGACGATAAGTATCACAGGTCACAGAGATTGGCCAGCGACTCTGTTCAAAGTTCCCAGGTCTCTTGATTCGATTCTTGAAACAGCTGGAGGACAGAGGCTGTGCACACTGGGAGTCGCAGACACAGCAGCTACCGATGTCTTCTTCGAAGTTGAGAAGTGGCTGGCGAACGACTTGTGGCCAACTCTCTTGGGATATCCTGCCACGAGAGCGACCAGACCAAAGTCGGATATCGATGTGAAGCTCACGCTTGAAGATCCTCCACGGATTTCTTTGCGCAGTGGCTTTGTCGCAGCCACAGTCAAGGATTCTCGAGCCTTGTCGGCCGAGGGGGTCCCAGCAAAGAGACACCTTGAGCTAGAGCTCCCACCTGGGACAGCATATGAGGCTGGTGGCCACGTCCACATTTTGCCGGTGAATAATGCACAACTATTGCGCCGAGCTCTATCGTACTTCAGGCTGAGCGGCGACGTTGTTCTCACAATGAAGTCTGAATCTGGACGCCCACTCCCGGTTCCGAGCAATACCCCTGTCACAGCGTGGGACCTGTTTGCATCTTATGTTGAGCTAACAGGTCCGGCAACTCCTGGAAATATTCAGGTAATGAGTGAGCTGGCAGTGTCAGATGAGACCCGCAGAGTCTTAGAGGCCATGTCAACAAGCTTGCTTGGCTCGGAGCCGCGCAATAGGGCCCTCAGTGTCCTTGAACTACTAGAGTCTTTTCCGGATCTCAACCTCCCGCTCTCAGAGTTCTTGATCATGCTACCTCAGATGCGTCCTCGGACATACTCTTTCTCCTCTTCCCCTGCTTGGCAATCCAATTCCGTTACGCTCACTTACACTGTTGAGAAGAAGGGTGTAGCTTCGAACTACTTGGCTTCGCTCCGTTCAGGGAGTGTGCTCTTTGTTTCAAACTTGCCGTCGACACCTCACTTCTGCCTTCCAAGCGCAGCGACTCAAGCAACGACGCCAGTCATTATGATCGCTGCCGGGGCTGGTTTAGCCCCTTTCAGAGGCTTCATACAAGATCGCGCAATCTCACTGCGTTCCGGTGCCACATTGGCGCCGGCGCTTCTGTTCTTCGGCTGTCATGGACAGCTTCTCGATGACATGTATCGAGACGAACTCGATGGCTTCGAGGCTGAGAATGCTGTGAAGGTCTTTCGCGCCTTCAGCCGCGACGGAGACATGTCATGCAAGCATGTAACTGATCAGCTTCGGGATCATCTAGGGGAAGTCTCCGCTCTGTGGGAAGCAGGGGCAAAT